TATATATATATATAAGAGGGAGAATCCACTTACTTCACTTAATAACTTATGTTTCACATCAAATTTTAACGATTTAATTGTTAATTTAAAATTTCTTATGCACAAATTAAGTTTGCAATTTTTTTAAAAAAATTGTAAACTATTAAATATTTCATTATATAAATTCAAATCAACATATAAAAATACTTTCATGATTATCCATTAATTTGAATTAATGAAGCAAACTATCAAATAGTTTTCAATTTTTTTTAAATTACAAATTTAATCTATATATTAAAATTTTTTAATTCAATTATTAGATTGTTGAAAGTTGATGTAAAAACATGAGTGATTGATTGGAACAAGTCTTTGCAAACTTACTCCCGAGAGAAAGAAAGAGAAGGTATCAACTTATTTCAAGAGTAAGTTTTGGTAAACTTACTTCACTTAATAACTCAAGTTATACATCAAATTTCTAATTATTCAACCATTAAATTAATTTTTTTTTGATGCATAGATCAAATATGCAAATTTTAAGCAATCTGAAAAATTATTTGATATTTCATTTCATTAAATCAAATAATGGATAATTATAAAAGTCTTTTATATGTTGATTTGGATCTATATAACGAAATATCAAACGATTTTCAAATTTTGTAAAATCTTGTAGACTTGATCTATGAATTAAAAATATTTAATTTATTAATTAAATTATTAAAATTTGATGTTAAACATGATTTATGTAATTTATTTTTGTTAATTTTATGATTCTTGACATTATTTTTTATTATTTTTATTAGTCCATATTTTTAGTTATAATTAGTTTAGTACTAATATAATATAACTTACAACATTAATAATATTAATTAAGATAATCACATTATTTTTAGACATGTTTTTCAATAAAAGTAATATATTTATTATTTTATAAAAAATAGGTAATTACATTTTTGCTAGTCTTATTAGAATTTACCTTAATATCAAATGATGTATAATGATTCATACATTCTACTCAATTAATTGAGTAAGTCACTATTAATTGTGTAAAAACCAAAAAGTACTTTAGAATACAAAACTCAACTATGGAGCGAGAAGCTTAACCCTTACAGAGCAAGTTAAATAAAGATATTGTTGAAGTTACCATAAAAATCGCATAAAGAGAAGGAATTCTAATATTTTTATAATGCAAGTTGTTTCTTGATAACCAAATCACGCATAAAACATGAGTCAAGGCAGAGAGTGTAACATCTTTCACCTAAGAACTCCATCGTTATTAAGAATCAAGAATATAAAGATCATAGATGATAAATTCAAAGATAAGTTCAAAATTAACATGGTGTAACCAAGTCCACAATGAACAAGCAAAGTCACATGTAAGAAAAAGATGCACCAATGATTCTTTAGATAATCCTCAAAGGCCACAAACCGATACCAAGGCTACACCTCTAGCTTGTAGTTGATCATTAGAAAGAAGTCAATTCTACAAAAGTCTCCAAACTAAACATGAGCATGAAGGAGGGATAGCATTGGAGCATCATAAGCACTTAGCCCATGCAACTATGGAATCAATAGGACAAACATAAATGTAGGCCCTTTTCAAAGAAAGGGTACACTAGAGCTTGTTGGACACCACAAAAGTTGATTAAGACTAAGGCTACTAGGAACAAGCACTTCCTTTGAAAAGAAAGAGAGTTTCTGTAAGATTATTGGGGATGATCTAGGCCGAGTTACAAATGAAACAACTCACAGAAGCCTTCAAAGATGATTAAAGACTATCAAAAATTTGTAAAGCATCAACAATCGAGGTATCCATGCACTAAACATCAATCCATAAATTAACAAAATAGTCATTTTCTAAGACCCAACCCATGTTAGTACTCATAGTATGCCAATGAGAGAAAGAGCACCATAATAGATCTACATTTCTCCAAGCTAATATGTTGCCCAGAAGCTTCCCCATATATATATAAACTCATTAAGTTTCTCATATTAGAAGCAAATGCCCCAACAAAATACCAAAATGTTGTCTGCATAAAGTGCATGAGAAGGAGTAGAGAAACTTTTTGGATTAGCCATAGGAATAAAAAGACTATTTTAACATTTTTAAGATATAATAGATTACAAAATGGTCACCGTAAGAATTGCACCTAGGTTAACTTTAGTGGTACAAATAATTTCCACAATTTTAATTTAGAGGAACCTTATATATTATTAAGTATATATTCAACTTTTTTTATCCCTGTTTTTATTCCGTTGAAGATTTCACATTAACTAATGATAATGTCATAATATTGTATATAAATGGAGAATAATATTCATCTTATTACAAATTAATTTTTTAAGATTAAGTTAAACTCATTAAGTTTAAACTTTTTAAGGTTCTTTTCAATAATTGACACAAATACAAAAGCCGTCAAAAAAATTGTTTTTTCATTAAATCAAAAATATATATATATATATATATATATATATATA